GTGTAAATCACACTTCATGAAGCTGAGATGACAAATGAAGCCTGCCACGACTCTGCATGAAATGTAACATGTTTTCTTAGGCAAGACAGGAGTTGACAGAGCATCAAATGATCGTGTTCCATCTATAACTTTCACTCCGTCAATTCTTCTGTCCTCTGCACGCCAATTATAATAAATACAGCTGACTGCATATAGCCAGAGGAAAATGAAGGCAGCTCTCTCACATATGTAAAACGAAAAGATTCAGACGTTTGTAAATCTTTTGATTGTTTACATAAAAGCAACGCTCTCTTCTCTTTGGTTTGAAGAGAGTAAGAAGTTGGAAAGGAATATATCTTTAGAAATCAACACTGAAAAGACAAGTAAGAATATTCAGCTCAGAGTAACATCCTCTTACAGTGGCAGCTGAAGACAGAAGGTGGTGTCAGTAAGCCTGACTGGGTGAAATATCTTTACCATAGAAAGCATTTCTGAGTTTGTGAGAAGTAGCAGTGATTTATGCTCCCACAGGTATTAACACCTCAAACAACACAAGCAGCATATTGTTTGCTAGAGAGAAATAACCAAAACCACACATCTTCTCTTTGTGTTTTTGGAAGCATTTTCCTGACACTCTGAAGGAAGAGAATTGTATAAAGTGTATGCTTTCAGGAAATTATTTTTTGAGGCTGTTCTGTTAGCACATCTTTCACAAATAACACGTGGTGCTTCTTCCTTGTTAGTGGTAAAAGTAAATTTGCATAATATTTTTTATTTATAATTACGCTGTACAGACTCCCCCAATATTGCAAGCTCACCACTAATACTACGTTCGTACGAAATAAACGATACTATAACTAGTGAAATAGCTGGAATAATTTCCTTCTCTCTACACTCCTACCTCGGTCTGAATACAGAGAGCCTGAATGCTTCCATGTGGCCACTGGATACTCCTTTTCTTAATAATGATCAGTTATATCCCAGACCATCACTGGTCTCCGCATCAGCCTGAGCCTGATGTATGCATTTAAGGAGCCACACTGGTCGCTCATGTTCCCGCTGTGTTATCAAATTCAGAATGTGAAGTTCATAAGAAAGATTATTTCTGTCTGAAGAGGTGGAACCGCAGTGGGCAGCACATCGCTGCCGCTCCGTGAAAAACAAAGAGAGAAGAAGCTCCACTGCAGCCTCAGGAAGAACACTGCGGGACTCCTTCTGAAGGTCCGAGTGCAGGCACTGTCCATCACCATCACTAGAGCAAGGGATGGAGATACAAGCAGATAGCAACACACTTGCCATTTCAAATTGTCAGGGATCTTTCTTTGCGCCAGGTGCCATATTTGCTGTTTACTGGGTTTAGTGGGCGCTCTGGGACCCATGTGCCCGGCCCTGTGTTCCACATGTTCATGATCCGTCTTGTGTAGCAGTGCCAATTACTCACGGTTTGTGAAACATGAAAGGGAGGAAATTATGGGGAGCGGCTGAGGGAGTTGGGGCTGTTTAGCCTGGAGAAGAGGAGGCTGAGGGGAGACCTGATTACAGCCTACAAATACTTGAGAAGGGATGGTGGGAGGTAGGGGAAGGGCTCTTTACATTAGTGTTGGGTGATAGAACAAGAGGAAATGGGTATAAGCTTAGTCAGGGGAGATTCAGGTTGGATGTTAGGAAGTATTTCTTCTCTGAAAGGGTTGTCAGCCACTGGAATAGGCTGCCCAGGGAGGGGGTTGAGTCCCCATCCCTGAATGTGTTTAAGAAAAGGGTGGATGAACTACTTAGGGATATGGTTTAATGGGGGATTAGGGACGGCTGGACTCGATGATCTCTAAGGTCTTTTCCAACCTAGAAATCTATGAATCTATGAAAGGAATTCTCAACAAGTCATGCAGCTTTACGATCTCAGTCATAAAAAGGTATGGCTTTAATACAATCGCTTTTCAGGCAGCCTAGTGTGGGCACATTGTTCTCAAGAGTCCTGTTTCATAGAAAAAAGTGTATTTCCCTGAGGAAGTTACCAGTACAAAAAGGATAAAAGATATAATTATAAACTGAATGTACATCTCTCAGAAAAGACACACAGGCTAAGAGATCATTTGTTTCAAAATATATATTGGGCTATTTCATTATATTTTTATTTTGTCTATGAACAGATTTTTTTTTTTTGTTTATTTACTGAAGGCTGCTCCGTCCCTACTTCAGAAGGAAAATTGCTGGTGACTAGAACATGTCAGAATACAGACAGAGACCTGGGAAAATAGAGAACTATCAGGCTTCTTTACATTTTAGTGGATTAGAGAACCAGGGATTTGTTAGTGTAAAGTTGTTAGTCTCAACCTTACCATAAGGAGAGCAACGGCACCACCTGCTGTTGTAGGAAGGTATTTATCTGGGTCGTGAAAGCAACTCCTCTAGTACTGCATTCAAAAACTAGCTGTACTTCTTCAGGAAAGCTTTCTCCTGAAATTTAAGCTGATGCAAGGCAATTTTAACAAATTATGTGTTTGCAGTTGCCTGTTCACACAATGAACTGTACTGTAGCAACAATGCTGGCCATAAATGACTGAATACGGGGTACTTACTTACAGATTTTTGAAAGCAAGAAAGTGTTTCACGCTTCTTTTCTGCTTTGGAGTATGGGCTCTTCCTCACCCAAGGCTTCGAAATCTAGCATTCACAACATTATCAGTAGATTTGATAGGTATTCAATAACCATCAAAAAGTTTACTCAGTGACCTGAGTAGAAATAGCATCTTCAGCACGACAATAGTTTAGGCCATTTTATGAGCTGGAGGTTATGGAATAAACAATTACTACTAGATAAGTAAGACATGAAACTATAGTTCAAAACATTCTTGAAAATTTCAAAGGATCTTGTTTCCACAATGCTCCTAGTTGAGAAGACAGGTTAGTACACACCCAGCTGCAGTGTACCCTTCGACTAGAAAAAAGGAGTCGTATTCTTAAGCACAGATTTGATGTAAACATACACGCAGGACTTCATGAATTTAAACTGTCAGGCAGTTCTGAGACATCTGGACCCAAGGAAATTAAATCCCTATCTGACCAGGACATAAGCTGCAGAGTGCAATTAGAAAGCCTCGGCAGCAGCTTGGATCCTCTGAGTTAGAGAAGGCTGAAGGTCTGCTTAATTCTTCCTACATGCGCAAGGAATCACCCTATAGTCTCCTCTTCTTCCGAGTAACAAGTGGTGCTCTGGAAAACCCTGAACCCGGCTGATTAGACATAACCTGACTCTGGTATTCCATAGGCTATAAGGGACTTTCGTGAGGACCAGTCAATTATAAATAAAATGATCATCTGGCAAAACTTCCACGAGAGTTAGGAATCGGTGCTAAAGAAAATGGCCAATTCCTATACAGGGCCGCTCTGTCATTTGGCCAGCCAAGATCCTCAAGGATTGTAAGTGAAAGTGAGTTCAGAACAGCAGCAGGAGCAGCCGCCTCTTCACAAACTTGGGAAAACAACACAAAACATGAAAAAATTTCGTGCTTTTGCCAAGGAAAAAGATATCACGGCCCATTTCCTCTTCAGACAACCAGAGCCAAGATTCACTTTGCTCGCTTACAAGCAAAATTATATGAGATATTTTAGTTTTTATCCTGAATAATTCAGTTCTGATTTGTGCATGAAAAATTCCAGGGAAGAGTGAAAAATGTGTATAACTTGATTGCTTCCCATGAGCTAAGACGAAGTCAGCAGATTTTCTGTAACATGTTGAACACTGGAACAGGTTGCCCAGAGAGGTGGTGGATGCTCCATCCCTGGAGACGTTCAAGGCCAGGTTGGACAAGGCCCTGAGCAACCTGATCTAGTTGGAGATATCCCTGTTCCTTGCAGGGGGGTTGGACTAGATGACCTTTGAAGGTCCCTTCCAGCCCTAACCATTCTATGATTCTATGATTCTATGTTCACATCAAACATGTTTCACTAATAGATGCTTAACACGTTTCATCTATCAGTACCAGTTCTTATAAGGTAACAAATAAGGTGTCAATAAAGTGTCCTTTTTTCTGCTTTTGAAGATGCTTTGTACATCTGAAAGATGTGCAAAACAGAAATAATCTAGGATTGCAGCAAGCTTGTGCATTTATTGGTGGCTTATTAAAAATTAATTCATTGCTGTAAATGAATACTAATAACATTAGTAAAAACTTTTTCCTTTCTTCTGTTTTTTTTTACACAAATAGTTTTATTACAAACTTGAATTCTTAAGAAATACACATGTAAGGAATTATACAAAGGCCTTGGCATTTGCAAAAATCTTTTGGTATTTGCATGATAATAGTCTATAAAACACTTTTGAACACAGATGTGCTCTAACAATGGTATCATTGCATAGAAATTCTTTAGGAATATTTCTGAGGCCACTTTGAAGAATTTTTTTGGCACAATATTAACAAAATTAAGGCCTTATACTTTCAAAATCAAGTCATTCAGTGTGTGAGTAGTATTTAAAACCCTGAAAAATATTAAATACAGAATAAAGACTATAAGCTCAAAGCAGGATTTACTATAATAAACACAAATAGCTATTAACCTGGGTTCAGTCTCTGCAACTTCAGCATTGAAATGACCTCTGTAAAATGAACATTTCACATCATATTTTGGCATTTAACACCAAATTCATGACACTGAAAAGAAGAAAACTTTTGTAAGCTTCTTTTTGAAATTATGAACTCAGAGCTTGATTTGCTTAATGGTTGATATCTATATAAATTACTAAAATATTTATATATATATTTTTTTCTTGACCATTGCTGAATCATTCTTTATTCCACAGGAAAGTTTGTTCTACTGCATAAAGAAGCTGCATAGTACCAACATAGCAGAAACACTTACTTGCCCATTTGGGAAACCTGTTTGGCAATCTGTTCCAGATGTAGTCCCATTAAAACCAATAGCACTAAAGACTAAAAACAGAAGCAAAGGTTTGCAGGATGGCACTCTATGTTGTGAAAAGATGGTTACATGTTGCTTAACCACAGTCTGTAATCCCAAAACTCTTTTTTACATTAGTATTGCTTTGTACAGGAACAATAAGTACATACCCAAGAGTCTGGGATTTGACACCTAGATAATGGTAACAACAAACTTCTCTGGGGAAGAAAAATGAATCTAAATATATAATACAAGAATGAGAAAGGGGGGTCAAACAGTATAAGGCAGAACTGCATACCTCCTAGCACCTTTGCATTTTTTTCTGGATAAACGCTGACTTTTTATTCTATCATCAGTGCATTGCATTTATATAAAAAATACAAATATTTTGATCAAAAGTGCCATTTGGCATGTCAACATTTGAAGCTTATCTTTGTTGTCTCTTTTCTTCTTCAGCAAGGACAGGGCCAGTAAAGCAGTGTGTGTTAGTTATGCAAGTTCCTAAAAGGCACTTTACTGTTTTCATATTGGACAACAATGAGGTACATATGATATATGTCTAGGCTTCATTGCTGTTAAACGAATAGCACCATATTGTGTGAAATTAGTCGAAATTCAAAAGTCATTATGTTTTTCTCATACAGACTTGACAACGGCTAACATTTGAGCGCAGATCCCCTGCTTTCAAAGTTGAGGGAGTTGGTTTCCTGTTAAAAAGAAACAAACGAAAAGATTCACTAACCATTGTTGATACAAACAGTCAGGTTTCAGGTTTATAATTGACAACACAAGCGTTGCATGCAGCCAAGCGCCTCTTTAAGCTGTGCTGAACCAAGAAGGTGTCCCTAAGTTCTCCAGCGTATGTTCACTTTCAAGTTTGGTCACAAACTATCCCAAGATTAGTTTTAAACATCGCCCACTTCGGTTCTGTCATCAGGCTGAGTGTTTTCTTAACCAGAAGACACTACCTATTTAATCAGTAGTTGAAAACATGCTGGAATTTGGGGAGTAGTGAAAAACCAAGCAAAGAAACTGTAGCAGCTTTTCTGGTTGATGAGATTATCACAGCTCCAGTGATAATCAGTCCCAGCGCCCAATTTTTCTACCTACTCAGGAGATAAGTATCTCACTGACAAACGGCCAAAACTGGCTAAACAACCTGCTTCATTTTGACGGAGACAGGCTAAGGAGCATTCACAGATCTAGAAGACATGAAGAGACAAAGGGTACCAGACAAAGGGTACCAGGAGTGGCAGCCTGGACTGCGGTGGGAGAGGATGCTTGCCTGCACTCCAGAGGAATGTCTGCTAATCCGGTAAGCTATGCAGACGTGGGAACTGGTCTATATGCTAACATATTAATAAAATTCATATGGAACAAATTAGACTGTGTTGAAAAATACTTATGTGTAGGAAACCAGAACAAAGCCTACCAGCACTTAATTCCTGAACTTAGAACCTCAACGGGACCGAAGAAATGCCTAAGACCCCCACCTTCAGCTGTGTTTTATTCAGACATACTTCCTCCAACATTAGGGAAACGTAAATAATCGTTCAGCTCACTTAGTTGAACACCTGCACTAATTTCAAGACGTTCTGTTGTGTTAACATCCACTAGGAGGAATGCTATACTCTAACTTAATTTCAATCAGTACATCAGCCTATCCCAGTTACGACTCAGTGAATACAATCAAACATGGTGCAAATGCAAACATTGATGGATTATTCTGAAAAGCAAAATACCAGGTACAAATGACACATTGTAAACACTAACGGAAGATACATTCATTAATTCCCCCAAAAGCTATTATAATTTTTTTCTTTTTGCTACGAAAATCATTAACTGCACATACTAACCAGGCTGGGGCTCAGCCAACACTGGAACCATGTATTATATTCAAACAATACTTCTCTTATTCAGTGACAAGGCTTGACTGAGTCTCAAATACTGATAAATAAATCATGAACTTACTTGAACATCTCATTCCTCTCTATAGTGGCAAGCCAGAAGCTGTAAGCATTTGCATAATAATTGCAGGTGCCCCGGCCATGGCATTCGATGAAGGGAGCGCTGCGAAACTCCTCTAGGCAGGAACCAGGAGACGCCAGGGCCTGGCCAGAGCCCTCCGCACCAGCACTGGTGTGCTAGAAAAATGCGAAAGCATCAGTCAGAGAGGGACT